CCCTAATCTCAGATCAGTATTTCCTTCTCCTTCCCCGGACTGCATTGCATCAGCCTTTTCTCATCAAAACCAGCAATGTAGATTTTCCTTTCTGCCTTACTTCCCCCTTAGATTCCCACACACACTGCAATTAGGCAGCATCGGTGGGATTCCATTACTGTACTGCAATGTAGTTTTGTGCTTTTTCTTTCCCTTATGTTTAATATTCTACCTCTGTATCTTGGTAAGGGAATAAAGAGTTTCTTGTTTAAGATCTTCTCTCCCTGTCTCATCTTCCTAAGGGTATTGTGCTAGAAAGAGATCTGTGTATACAACAGATCGGAATGGTTCCACATAATTACCCAGAATACATGTATGGTTCTACATGTGCAGAGGGTGCACTGCACATGACAGGCCTGATACGGGGACTGGTTTAGGTAACATTTGGGTCATTGGGAGCTGATGTGTTGAACAGACTCCTGTTCTGTGGTAGTGGTACACAGTGGCATGGACTGACGAGGATGATCTTTGCATGGCTGGTGTGTGGATGGTCCTGCCTTCCAATAGGAGCTTATTCTTGAAAATTCTTTGGAATTCTTCCAGCTGTAAGATTGTGTTGCTTGTTTTCTGTCAGGAGATACAAACTGTATTCTAAAAAAAATTGCAGACCTTTGTCTCATGGCAAGTTTCTGACACTCCTTGGTATTGTACAACATTTTCTCCCTCCGTCTCTATCTGATTCTTGAGATACAGGCTTTAATTTACATTTGAATCTTGTATCTAAAGTGTGTTTTCTGGCAGTCATCCACTTGTCTCTTGGGAAACATAACAAGCTGATTATATAGCGATTAGCAAGAAAAGCCAGGATTTTAATATATCTTATCTGGCACCTATTCCCTTCAGCCAATAATCTAGCTTTCTAAAAGATCAAAGCACCTCAGATTCATCTTGGAAAGGAATATTAATCACCACCAAGGAAGCATTTGACATTACTCTGGAAATACTGACCAATGAGGAAATCAAGTACTATCACTTTTCATTACCTTAGCATTCCAATTATTTTAACAGTCTTCAGGACAAGAATCTGTGCTTTTGAAGTTGTAGACATGAATACAGTCTTACTAGAGAGTAAGTCCCCCACTGAACTCAATGCGACTTACTTCTGAGTAAGCATACTTAGGCTTGCACAGCATGGTTGCAAATGGGTGTGTGAAACTTCACTACTTGATTAGCGTGGAATATACAGTCAGGAAAGGGAACATGACCTCTGGCTGAGATGGACTGCCTTGCACTTTCTGTGCACTACATAACCAGGTTGCAGAGCAAGTATCTTGTCATGGCTAAATTGCAGACTTATGATCTCTTTCTCCCCTGATGGAAGGGAGGGAATACAAAAAAAGAGTAGCTGCCTAGTTTTTCCTCTCAGCACAGATGATGTGCGTGGATTTTGTCCCTTTTGTAATATGCCTTTACTCTGAGAAAGCTTGTGTGGGATAATGTGTACAGGGACAACATAAAGGTTTCCATGGTAACTATATTTACTCATTTGTCCTGGATTCAAAACCTTACTTTGTGTGCATGCCTTCTCCTCAGCTCCCATGACTGTATGAGGGAAGAGTAGGGGGTGATGGCACCAACTATCATGGCATCAATATTTGAACCAAATAGGTTTCATGTTTCAATAGAATTGAACGTTTAAGATTCCAACCAAATCATGCATTGGACCACTTCATGAGGGATACACTACAATCATGCCCGTATAGCTCATCTTCTTGATTTAAAAAATTGAGTTAAAACATTTCTTGACATGGTTCTAGAATATTTTTTTTGTGGTCCATGGATTTCTACAGTACCTTCATAGGCTCTCAATTGTCACCGGAACCAAAACATGCTCACTTAAGAATATTTCTGGGTTATGCCTTATTTCAGGAAACAACCAACCATTGCCAATTTTTAAACAGGTCACTGTCTTAGTAGAGTAGGAAGCCTAGGTCCAACCCAAGCAGATATCTGTTGGAAACACCAAACTTCTATCCAAGTCAGCAGCATGAGTTTAGCCTACAGAGGCATCCCATTGAAATCCAGAACCTCATTCTGAAAGGAACCAATCTATTAGGTCAACAACAGCTCTGATATGTCAACAGCCACAATTACTGAGTTTGAAAGTGTAGAAAATGCTTTTGTATTGATCATGTTTATTCTCGAGCCTTTCAAGTATCATTCATGTGATTCAACACATTATGGAACATAACAGAGAGCTCCCATAACCAGGAACAGGCTTCATCATATAGCTTAGCCAATACTGTTGCTAAAGAAATACCTTGTGAATAACAATTATAGTGGAGGTGCTAATTAATAGACACCAAAGAGCCACATGCTGTTAAAAATAAGCCAGTTAGGTATGACACACCTTTAATTATCTTTACTGGGAAGACTAGATGCATTTTGTTATATAATAGATCTGCACTAATCTTTTTCTTATACAAACAAGTGTTAAAATTCTGTTACTATAGTGCTTTTTAGATACATATGTGTTTCATAACAAATAATCATGATATAAATCTTTCTCACAGAAGTTGCAGAGATGGTGAGAAGACAAAACTCCTTTCTGGGATTTTAGAAAAAGCAGATCTCACGAAGGATCTGAAAAGAAAAGAAAAAAGCTTTTATGTTAATGTGATCTTGCGGAATAGTCAGTTACCACACTGTTCAGCATTTCAGAGGACCTTTCCTTTGGCATAGTCACTATAAATTGCAACACACACACACATATATTGGATTTTACAAGTTTAACATCATGGGAGGGGAGATAACACAGAGAGATAAATGAGAGGTAATTTCTGCATATTGAGATACGACATATAATATTTTTCTCCCTGGTGGTTTCAAATGCTAAAAGTATTCACTACTGCAGGCAACACCACACACACACACACACACACACACTTGCTTATTTTAAATATAAATTAAAGAAACGCTTACAGCCCTTACAGTGAGGTAACGTCAGGAGGAACGCTGCGCGGAATAGATCTGGCGTTTTCACATAAAGCATTATCTTTGGAACAGGTACACCAATTAGGACATGTCTTTCCTGGTTTGCTCCCGTCAGTCAGCAACAGTACCGATAAAAGGCATAGGAAAGAAGAAATTCTTCTCAAGGGGTTGCAGGCATTTCCCATTCTTTTGATCCACTCTGGTTCCAGCCAGTTGAAAGAATAATATCCCAAAACATGAACAGGTCTTCCCCCCCCCCTCTTCTTTAGTCAGCCGTTGGATGTCCTTCTATAAAACCAAGCAGTATTACTCCAGCTTTTCCTTTTTTCCAGCTCTTTTTTCCTTTCCCTGTCTCTTTCAAAAAAGAACGTGTTTTTATAGCTAGAACCTGCAGCTGATCTATACGTTTCTGTTCTTTCATCAGACACCAGACTGCCCAGAGAAGGGACCTGTGAGGTGCTGGAAGACAGGGAGGGGGGAAAGGGGGGGGGAAAGACTCTAACTGGCTGTAGAGGGGGGGGGAAGGCTTTGCATCAATGCTAAAAAGGAAAAAAAACCCTACAACACAGCCTCTGAGATCGCAAAGTGACGCAACTGAGAAAACACATGGCTTTCTCTTTTTTTTCTTAGGGAGGCCCTCTTCTTGTTACCAAAAATAGTACAACCTTATGCTTTAGCTGGTGGGTGGGTGCGTGGGTGTGGAGTGGAGTGTGCTTGTGTGTGTGTGTGGGAGATCGGTCATCTTTTACTGGATCCCTCCACCCCCACCCACCCCCCGTAAAAGCATCGGGAATGACAAGTGACAGCAGAAGGAGACAGCCACTCTTCACTTGGGAAGGAAATCCAGGAAAATCATCCAGAGCATCACTGCAAAAAAAAAAAGAAAAAAGAGGGGGGGGGGAGAGGAGGTTCAGCTTATGTGTGGCCTTTGCTTGCATTACCCGGGCTTCTGTCACTGCAAAACAAACAGGCACACATGGGGCTTATTAACGAGAACGCCCACAACTGTCCTTTGTAAAGAAAATACTATTTTTTCTCTAATGCAGGAAAATGCAGCCGAGGGCTTTTATCACCCTTGTGTCTTTATGCCTTTAACATACAACAGCCAGGCTTCAGAATCAACTATGTTAACCCAGAATTCATTATGGAAACCTGTTTAATCAGCCTGGGTGTTTGCCTTTCTCAGAAGGAGAGGGAAAGGTGCAGGGCTGGGTGCAGTTCAGTTCAGTTCAGTTCATTATATTACGGTCCACGACCAGATCCAATTGACAAAAACAAACCTTATTCAGGTATACAAATATACAAGTTAAGGGCTTTGTTTGTGGGAGTCTTTGTGCATGAGAGGTGCACGAAAGCCAGGACATCACACTGCAACTTAAATAGTCAGCATAGATTAAAGGACCACCAAACATGTTCAGAATGCATCTGCCTAGCTACAGAATCAGATGGTGGTGGTGGTGGTGGTGGTGGTGGTGGGGCTTCCAGAGAATGCAATGTATTCAAATATACTGGAATCCAAGCATCACTTTTGTTCAAAATGAAGCACATTCATTAAACCCACAAGTGAAGAAAAGGCCATGGCAGCTCAGTGAGCCTTAGCAGGATGAGGCCCTGTCTTATCATGGATGTTATTCTCAGGAGATCTTTGAAGTACCAGCCAAACAACACTCAGTGTGTCAGGGGCTACATATGAATAACTCCATATGCCCTCCCTACACTTAAAACTGAAAATGTAGAACTAAGGGCCACAGTGTTTGTTTGTTTAATTTGTATCCCACCCTCCCTGCCAAGGCAGGCTCAGGGCAGCTTACAGAATATATATATATATATATATACACAAACACACACATATTAAAACACAAAATTTAAAATAGAACCACAACATGTAAAATGCATAAATACTGGTGAACATAGGTACTTGTTGTGTACGCGGACCACCACTAGGGGCCCGCGGCAAGACAGGAGCTTGGCTCCCCTGGACAATGGGAACATAGGATCTGAGTTCCCCCTAGCTTCAACCAATGGCCACTTTGGCGGGAGATTCAAACCCTCCAATGGACTAGGGCTGTGCTGGGTGGGTGTGTATATAGTTAGCCTTGCAGGGCTGTTTTAGTTAGTCTTGTGTTAAGTACAATAAACGTGTGCAAGAGCATGTTGTCGTCCGAGTCATCCATGCGGTGAACCCAGTACTTTTCAGTACTAATAAGTGATGGTGGTGTTCTCTCGATATCCAGATGGGGATCCCTCATTACATTCTCCAAGCATGCAATTTCTCTGCAAAAAGCAATTACAAGGACCCCTGAAATGAATCAGAGTTGTAGTGCTGAAGAAGAGGGGAGTACATTTTTGCCCGCATTATTTCTGTAATCACTCCCCCCGTGGGTTTAAGCCCAAGTGTGTCTGTGGGTGGGGGACAGGCCCAATACAAACACCAGTATCCTTCATCAAAGGGTTCTTTTTAAAAAAAATCTCATTCCTCTGACAGAGGCATCTTTTTACTGGTGAAGAAACAGAGAACTTAAAGACTGCCAGAAGATCCACGATGGGATCCCTTGCAGGTTTTCCTGTTGGTTCAAAGCAGCTGTTCCAGGGCCCCAAAAGGACCAGGGAAATGAGACTGGGGGTACTAGATTCTTCCTCCAACCCAAATGCCTTGCCCATTGCTATTTGCTCTGCTGGGGAAACCATATGGGTATCCAGGGCTGGCCCATCCGCTTGACTTCTCTAGGCACCTCCTCAGCTTGCCACCTCCCCATCACACCTCACCACTGGGAGGGAGTTTAAACCTGATCACAGATCTCCTAGCAACTTGTCTAGTGCGTTTTCCACACATTTCTTTAGTTTCTCAATTGCTGTGGCTGCTGATACAGCACAGCAGCAGTGGGGTTTCCACAAGGCAGGTTTCCTGACATTTTTCCTGCAGTGGCCATTCCCCCCCCCCCCCCGTGGTCCTCCCCAGTCTTATTAAAAAATCTGCAATTGACATAGTGGTCATGGTGCTATAACAATCTATCTGATTCTCCAAATTCCCAGCTTTCATTTTAAAAAATTCAAGTCACTAAGATTCATTGTGGTAATATGAAAAGAAAAAGCATCTCTCTGCAATTTGTCGATATGTCAATTGCCAACGTTTTTAAAAGCCCTCAGATGGGTGGGGAGGAGGTGGCTGCCTTGAGAGAGTGAGGTGGAAAAATGGCACCAGGGTGGGCAGGCCTGGGAAGAGCCAGACTTTTCCACAACATGACAGCAACGCAAGTTTGGGAAAAATCAGAGGCAAGACTGGGGAAAACTTGGAGATACATAAATGTACCGTAATACTGTGGGAATGTGGGAGCAAAATATTTCCCAATAACAACCAAGTGGGGGCAGACAAACTGTGCTTTAAGAGTCCTAGTTTGGCTCTGAGGTGTAAGTAATCTGCTGGCCCAGAGACAAAACTGTGAGCAGAGTTCAACCTTATACATAGCTATCAATGGAAGTGGTGGATCTTTTCTCCAACCAAGAGAGGGACAAACTACATTTGACGGGTAGTTGTAAGACTTTAGTTCTTCATTTAAAAAATATAATAAAAGCAGCTATGAGGGGTGAAATCAAGACGGGGGGGTGTTGTTGTTGCTGAACCCTTTCCATAGGGATAGAAATACAGCTTGTAGAAAACAACTTTGAGTGGCAGGAAGGAAAAAGGATAAATGGTCCTCCTGATTCTTCACTCCCCACTTCAGGCTTCTGCAGCTGCAGCTGCTTGTCATTAAAGGGGGAAAAACTGGGAGGAAGAGTCACAGCGCTGCCTGTCACACGTCATTTTGCCTGGAGGGACAGCAGCTCTACATGCAAGGGACTTTCAGTATTACTTCTGGGACACAATTGCTCATTGGTTTGGGCTTCAGACGCATGGTCATGGCATTAAAACATATGGATCAATTTTGCTTTTTAAGTATACATCCATTAATCCAGATGCCAAGGAAAAGAATTGATTCATGGAACCCAATAGCCAATGAACCAGTCGCCACAGGACCGTTTGCACTGTAATAAAATACATGGGGGTACCAGCTATTCTTAAAGTATGGATGGGATGCGGATTTTGAGTCAAGAGTTAGAGAATGAGCCACACAGTGCTATTAGCAGACTGAATATCTTACCTGACTAAACTTAATAAACGGATATCAAGCAGCTAGATTTTATTACCCTGTCTCGATAAGCCTGGACTTGCCAGGCTCAGACTAGAAACAGGCCTATGCCAAAAAGGGGAGAAACACATTTTTTATTATTTATTTACAGCCTACTGTTATGCCAACTTCTCCAGGAAATTCCTGGAGACCCAATCCAAGTTATCTACCAAGGAAAATTGGGTGTTTGTGGCTGTGCGTAAGTTCTATACCAGTCTATACAGAGGTCGGATGGCGAATGAGACGCTCGGCTATATCCCAGGAAGTGAGACAACACACTAGTCCTTAAATAAATGTTGTCTTTACTAAAGGTTTTTCATCAGGCATACAAAATCGGAATCACACAAATTCATACAAGCTCCTTAGTTACAATAGTACATTAGAACAATTACAGCATAGAAAATAACAAAAGCATCAAAATGGGGATGACACAATGGGGCACGGCTATACTCATCTGAGGTCCAGCTGAGGAAGAACTCTCCTCCTTGGAACGCTGGGCAGCCGAAATGCAGCAGCTTGTGAACTCCAAGGCACACAGGTAGGACCAGCCAAACCACGTGTGAGCTCTCTGGGTCGCGACTCCGGAGAACTTAAGTAGTAGAGTCACTTGTAGCACCTTAGTGCACTGCTATGGGGAGGGTGGGTTAACCAGAGAGACAAAGGAGAGTTTCTCCTTAAATAAACTCTTTTTGGGGCATGTGTTATCCAGCCATAAACTATCAAACCCGTCCTCTAAACTATCACTACTGGATGAAGAGGGGGTGACGAGGGGATGACGAAGGGGATGACGCTCTCCTAAGGGGTGGTGGCAATATGTAGATCCTACTCCTACATCAAAGGTGCCTTTTGGCAAGGTGTGAATCTTCCGTTCCCATGGACACCTCTTGATTTGCAGATCTGGTTCCTGCTCCAAAGCCATAAACGCTATTGTCTTTAGATCTCCAAACCAGATTAAGGGAGTAGGGTCACTTGCTCTTTCCATTCCAAGAATGCCGGGGTTCGCTGGGGATTTTCCATAGCTCTCCAAGTGGGTGCAA